ATTAAAGAATATGCCTCTTCAAAAGGTTTTGACATTAGCGATCCACCAGAAGCGACATCAATAATCAATCTAAGAGATCTCACTAGTCTATTATAAAATGTTTGAATTATTAACCAATCTGGTAGAGCGTGATGTGGTCATTTCTTAAGGAGATCTTTAAATCTTTCCCAAGCTTCATATATTGATTCCCCTTCAAACTGACAAAAAGATGTAATATCGTTTCTAAGCTTAGTAGTTTTTGATGGAGGGAAATATTTTGACAAAAATTTTTGTGATAGTTCTCCCCAAGTTTTGATAGATCCAGGTGTTAACGAATTTACCACACCTTAGCTTTATTCCGTAGTGAAAAATAAAAAAGTCTAAGTCTAACGACATCATTCGACACTCCCACATATTTAAATATAACACACAATTCTAGAAAGCTAGCAAGGTGTAAATTAGAATCTTCATTTGGTGTCCCACCAAACTGACTACTTTGTACCATTTGGATAATAACAGGTTTAAGTTCAAACAAATTAGCAGTTACATCAGAATTTTGAATGGTTAAGTGAATTTCATCTGATATAGGGTTGGCATAATCTCTTAAAGGTCTAGGTTGATGTTCATTTTCATTTAAGTTGTTCGTCATTTTGTTCAAATTTTTAAAATTTTTTTGTTGCTTCAGAATTTTGTTAATAGTGCGTTCCAACTCTGAATCGTAAGACACTAATTCTTCAGATCCAATACTACACATACAAAAGCACACTAAATACTCTTAAAGCAAGTAAGCACACAAAATTACAAATTAAGAAATAAAGGTTTTTTAAGTACTACTAATTTACTGTTATCGTTGCACACTGTTACCGTTGCACCAAAAACTTGGTCGCGACTTTCTAAATGCTCGGTTTCTAATTTAATTTTTTATCTTCTCTTTTATCGCAGTTATGAACATAAGTATACATATCACTCAAGTAATACATGGCTCTAGTGGAGTTCTGGTTATCGATCCCACAAGGAATACAACGAAAATTTAAAATGCAAAACGTAGTGCAGAAAGCCAATATCCAATTCACAATGCATGTACTGAAAATATTAAAGTCACCAATAGTATAAAGACGATTAAATATTCAAGTTCATTACAGTACTAAATAAGTTTCTAAGCAAGTTATCTAACGCCAAGCTAAGTTTTTGTATTGCAAGTTTCAAATATGGAGAAGACGTCCTCCCCCTTACAATGATGTTGTTGTGAGCGAAAGATAAAGATTATTAGGATATTGTGTTGTGTCAAATAGGAGCATTCCTATTCTTTATCCTCTTTCGAGTGCTATAAAGAACATTGATTAATCCTAAATTTTTCTCCTAAATCAATAGCTAGGCTAGGAGGATACTGGCTGGTGGGCCAGCCGCTGTCACTCCAGAGCTCCCACTTGTCTTCCCCTGAAGGCTAGCTTTTGCTTTAGTTTACAAACACTAGAACTAAATTGGGGATTTTAGTCTGTTACTCTAAAATCTCCAATTCTACGCCCAATAAAATATATTTCTCTATTATTTGCATTCAGCCCCCATGAACTCTACCATCCATGAGAATTGAATGTGATCTTCACCATTGTTGTAGAATACATAACCCTTTCGGATCATATGATTCACAGCAAATCTTAACAATTTAATTGGTCAGATCGAAAAGTAAATGAAACACTAAGTGTAAAATCATAACAGCTAAGTGTAAAATCATCACAACATTTTAGCATGAATTCGACACAACCAATCTAAATCATCACATCACCACATCTCATTGCAAGGAGAAAGACAAAGAAATCTACTCAGAACTTATGAGAACGATACGACAAAACAAAGATTTTATATTTAAAAGCAATGTCATACAACCATAAGAAGTAAATACAACTTATCTCAATTTCTTCCCTAAGCAAATCCCTTGAAGTTCCTTTAAATTCTCTTCTCTTTGTACAACTCCACACAATTCCTTCTTTAGATGAATAAGGGAGAAGAAATCTCTCACTTCCCTTCTCCTCCTACACTCCTTAGAGAGGAATCCAACACAAACCCTAACTCTCTCTCACACTCTCCAAACAAGATGAAACACTCTCCCTTCACTCACACCACTGAATTCGAGCACCAAAAGCAGTTTAAATTCGTTTAGAACAAATTCCCCAAGAGATTTCCCAAGCAACCCTTCAAAATCCATACGAATACATTGAATTTGGGCATAAGTCGACTTCGGGCGCCGCTGTCGCTCAATTATTCAAATCATCCCATACTCTTTGGAAATGGGCGTCACCAGTGCCCACTTTGGCGCCGTCGACGCCAGAGGCAGTTTTGGGAACTTTGTCTCTTTTTCCTCCAAATTTGTTCCTTTTTTGCTTCCTTTGGCTCCAAACACCTAAGATTATCATATCTGCAACAAAACATGAAAAATATCTTCATTTAAAGTGCAATATCACCAAAAATGAGTAAAAATACATATAAGAAATCCAACATATTTTTGGCGTGTCAGTTGTATATAGGGACTAGTTGACATATGGCATGTGGTCGCCTCCATGTTAAGAGCTTTGGTCAATCTTCAATAATTAAAGCATTATTCCAATGGAGATCAAGCCGAACTCCATCGCGGCCATCATGACCTATGAAGTCTTCTATCGGCGCACAGACATTTCATGGTCGACTGGCCTGTTCGGTCACGTGTTCTCTTTATAGGTAGAAGTCGATGGGTACATTCAAATTGGCACAGTTGGTCGGTTCTAGTTCTCGTGTTTGGTGAATAAAGTGAAGGACTAGAAGTTGAGATTCTTCATCATCTCATACTCTTAAAGTTGGGGGATCCAAACTGTCACAACTGGAAGCAACTTTCAAAAGAAAGAATGGGATGGGCTATTCTTGCATCAAGGGTGTGTTAGGATTGACAAACAGCTTTTTCGCTCGTTGACTAGATGACTATTAATAAGGTTCTTTTTTTGGCGAGTTCGGTCAAATGACAATAATTGTGGGTCGCCTCTGATGCAGAACAAATGAAACAAGATGCAGCAATTGCTACATTAACTGCTTGGAAGAATCCGAGGCTCGAGGGATATTGTTTCCTGTCAAGAGAGCTGCGACAGTAAAGGAAATGTTGATGGCCTCACGAAGATAGAGCCAACACTAAAGGTTTGGATTTTATTTTCTTCATCTCTGTGACAACGGTGGTGTTCCAAAGTGTGCAAACTGGTGAACTAACCATTATAGAGATAAGAGCCTCAGTTTGTACTAACACCTATTTATTTGGTTTGACTCCTTCATGCATGGGTCGGTAAGAACCTAAAGGTTCGTCTAGTTGCTTGGAAGAGAGTGAAGCTGAAGAGTAAGTTTCACTAGAGATGGTGACGGCGTTGGCTTCCCCTCGCATGTATGCTACATTTATTAGACTGTATGGTTAGTGTTAAGCTAATCGGCCTTCTTCCAGTACTCAGACCGAGTTAGGGACTAAACCAGAGAAATCTTTCCAAAAGGAAGAAGTACGCCACCATAAAGAAAAAGAACATGCTTCTCGATTAACTTTTATGCCGCTTCTGTCCTTTTAGATGAAGAGAAAGGGCTCTTCAGTCGGATGGGTCCCTACTTGAGAAAAGGGGGCCCAAGTGTGGACTAGCTCCGATGGTAGAAATGAAATTGGTTGCCACCATATACAAGGCCAAGACTTCAATTATGTTCACGAAGAACGCCGTACACAAGGCCAAGCTTGTCGCACTAAAGGTTCCATTTGCCCCTATTTTGCTCAAATCTAAAGAGCGCATAATTTGAACATAATTAACATATCATCACCCAAAATAAGTCGAACTTGGCTAATGAAAACTTTCTTGCAACGAACAATCTTCAAGTCTTTTGAGAAATTATTTGAATTAAAATGAAGATTATACCTATCTATAATTTATCAAATATTCAATTTTGCAATTAATACTATTCTATGTTCATCTTCCTTTAAAGAACCGACACTAATGATTATACAGTAGCAAAAATTGAAGCTGACATGATCCAATATAAGGTCATCTCTAACACCCACCTAATATCTACCCATAAAAGTTGGAGTAAGAACCAAGCTAACCAGCCAATTGGACAATAAGCACCATATCACATTTATACTTCATATAAAAGAGAAAAAAAAAAAAAATCAAAAGAATGGCTTTCACTACTTCACAGCATAAAGCACTGATTGCTTGTTGATCAATAGTTTTCTCAGCCTTAGCATTCAATTTATTAAAATTTTGGGCCATTTACATGCATGCCAATCAATTCCTCATTATTTACACATCTAAGATCTAAATTTTATTATATATATACCGCCCTAAGCGTTCATATTATATAAAAAATTACCACTTTTTTAACTTCTAAAAAGCGACATACATCTTCTCGTGCACAGGAAAGGTGGTATATATATGTTTGTGGGTTTGTGCGCTCGTGTAAAAATTGAAGCTTAGTGTTACATATGTAAATACTTAGGAATTGAGTGGCATGTATGTAAATCTTTCTAAAATTCCTTGTTTCAATCAATAAAATTTCCAACTTTCTCCATGCAAGCATATAGATCCAATTTACGTTACATACACACATGGAATAATATAAATTAAAAAAATAAAAGAAACATGACATTCAAAACCTCATCACTACAAATCCCAATTTCCGTTACATATACTACAAACACAATGAGTAAAAAGCAGAAATCACGCAGCTATAGACACTAAAACTCACAATCAACGTCCTTGACTAAAACTCTCTTCTCAGAACTTCTGCCACATAAGAAATCCTGCAACAACCTGCAGCTTCAAAGCGTTCCAGTACAGTATCTTGATACTTCTTACTCACCATTTCAGACAAGATTGGTCCAAACAGATAAAAGAAGGGGGTATTTACAATCGTAGCAAATAATTCTAATGTATTTACATATTTCACACCCAAACTTTCATATTTACACACATGACGCTCAGATCTTTAACGTCACATCAAAAATAGCAATATTATCAAATTTTCATGCATTAATTTGACGCACCAAATTTCTATGCATGTAAAAATGAAAGTATAGGTGTAAAAGATATGTAAATACATCCCTTTGCCCTCCCCGAAACAAGCTACTCCTCGGGCTCTTCTTCTTCCTGGAGGAGATTCTCTCTGTTATCATGAGCCCAGAAACCTCGAACATCGATAAGCATGCTAGCAACAGTGCCGCCCTGCTTGCAGGAAAGGAGATCGGCAAGACTTATTCGGAGAGGGTCGGCAGGTTTGATCATGTCCCAGATTTCATCCCTCACATCTTCAATACATAGTTCATAGTTTCCACCTTCCATCCATTTCTGATGAACATCTCTGAATTATGGAATGAAAAGGAAATTATTTTACCATGCAATTCAATGTAGATGTGAAAAAGAGATTGGGCACTGAAAGTGCAAAATTAATGAATTAATTTAGGGTCTGTTTGAGGAAATTGCGGCTCTGTAAAGGTTGTGGGAAAAGCAATAGTTTTTTAAAGTTAGTTTAGGCATTAAAGATATCTTTTCTATGTAAGAAAATGAGAAAAGCTTGCATATAGCATACTCTAGAAAAAAATGGTCATACTATTTCAACCACAAAAAATTCTAAAAATCGACAAGAAAGCTGTCAAACATATTTTTGATGGATATTTACCCTTAGTAAATAAACGGGCAATTTACATACATGCCAAATAATTCTTATATATTTACATACCACAATTCTGATATATTTACGTATCTAACACTTAAACATGCACATTTACATTCATACCACTCTAATTTTTAACATCATATAAAAAATTCCACAATCACTACCTTTTAAAAACCAAAATTCACCTTTTCATCCATAGATTTATGACACTAAAATGTTATAAATATAAACATCAAACTTTGGGTGTTGAATGTGTAAATACATAAGAATTTTGTGATATTTATGTAAATTCCCCTAAGTAAAAATAGTTTATCAAAACACACAAACTAAATGAAATGAAACATAAATGCCCTTTCGCAGACTTATCCCCAAAAAATTATCTTTTTTCAGAGTACACTAGTTCTCTACATTATCATCTAGCTATTCCATGTAATTACTTCATGTTGTACTCAATTAATTAATTGGTTCTAAAACTATTTTGCTTTTAAGAGATTATTGAACGTTAATGGGGCTACTCTTCATCTTCACATACACACCCTTCTTTCTTCTCATATTATCATTTGATTTGTAGTTAGTTTATATTTCTTCTTGATACTGTATATAATCGTATGCACTATTCTCAAAGACTAATTATAAAATTTGTTTAAAAAAAGATTGTTGACAGATAGCAACAAGAACAAGAAAAATGCACTCTTCGTTCACATCGATATCCTTAACTTATGAGTATCACACTAATCTTCATCTAGAAACTCTCTTTTATTATCTTGTCATCTTGAAATTTGTATTTTGGATTATGCCTTATCTTTGTAATTGCTCCATGTTGTACCTCTCTCATTGACCGGCTCTAGACTTTTAAAAGTTTTACATACCACTGAATTTCTATATATCGACCTATGCAACATCTAAGACTTCAATTTCTATATATATGCCACCTTATCTATGAATGAAAAGGTGCATTTCACTTTTGAAAATTTAAAGTAGTGGTACTTATCATGTGATATGAAAGATTTGGATGGTATAAATGAAAAAAGTAAAGTTCAGGAGTTAGGTATGTAAATACACAGGAATTAGGTAGAATATGTAAAGACCCCAAAAATGTAGATACGATAAAAGTTAATCCTATTGTTAAAGTACTTTCATCTTAACAATGCATCAAAGGACACACCTAAATTGATGTTGTGGGGTCCTTATTCCATGATGAGACAAAAAATGCTTCAACTATCTCTAGTAATTTTAATATAGTGAATTTTACTTTCGTTGAGGTTATTGAACGTCAAGTAATTGAACTGATGATGATCGAGCAATTGACCATGTAATCTTTGGGAAAGTGCTTCCAACCATCCGGGGAATGACAAAAATATCGATCAAAGCATCTCCTGCAACAGCTTGGAAGTTTTTGTTAATTTTTATTTCTTATTGGGGGGGGGAAATATAACAACACAACACCAAGAAATATGAAACAAATAATAAAACTAGGGTGGAATCTTGAGGGGGGGGGGGGGGGGGGGGGGGGGGGGGGGGGAGGGGATGGTATTTACAAATCATTCAGCCCAATTCCTATGTACATGCATATCTAACATCTAAACTTTGTTTTTTGCATTTCTGCCAACCAAATATTTTCTATCACATCAAAAATACCACTACTATAGCTTTCAAAATATAAAATACACATTTTCATGGTAAGGTGCCAAATATATACAAATTTAACTCTAGGAGTTAGCTGTGCAAGTACATAGGAATTTAGTGTCATGCATGTAAATCTTCCTTTTTTTTAAAAACCCATGCACATACTCACATGCGATACCGCTGGAACCTGAAACTTATAGTTAAAAATAAGCACCCAGCCATTAGGCTGAGTGGACTACATCTGCCCGAATCTAACGGTTAATTTAGCTTTGACTCTATTATTGTCACTTCTTCCCACAAGTGTGGCCACCCCTATGATTAAATAAAGTTCTACCACCCTCTCAATGGGTACTTTGTGATCACTTTTATTTTTATTTTTCATTTTATTTTGTTTATGCTTTTAATTCAAATAAAATATGTTTGATAATTTTAATATGTTTAATTGTTTTAAATAATACTCAAAACAACTTTTAGATATTTTGAGCATCTTTAAAAACAAGCTAAATTGGTTTTGAAAATTTAAAATAAAAACATGCAAAAAAAATCCATTTAGATGTTTTGAGTGTTTTTAAAAATAGGCTAATTTGATTTAAAAAAAAAATGCAAAAAATTTCACAAAACAAGCATATTTTTAAATAAAAGAAAAAACAAAAAAACAAAAAATAAAGAAAGATCCCAAGCAAGCACAAAATAAATAAGTTTTTAAAATAGAAGCAGAAATAAAAATAAAAATAAAAAATAGAAGTGATCCCAAACAAACCCTCAATTTAATGCGCCTGGTTGGAGCTTAGGGTATTCAGTGTTTTAAGTACTCATCATGATTTCTTAATTTATAAACTGATTGATATACGTTGAGACTAAATAACTTCTCTTAATTTGATCTTTTGCACTTATGCGGTTTTGATCACTATGGGTAAGTAGGCAGCTAAACATAGTAATATGGACGATAAAATTTGCAACTCTTCTGTATGTGTCATTTTTTAAGGTAGAATTTCCATTTGCCGTGTTATGTGGCTGACAAAAGGAAATTTGCCCACAAATGGCAGTATCTACCTCCGAATTTCGCCCACGAATGGCAGAATCCACTTGAGAAATGTTTTTCTTTATGTAGGTCACTATAAATACTTATTTAAAAATAGGGAAATTTCTATTCAAAGCAGACAAATCTTATGCATTTACATATCTCACAGGTAAGCCTGCTTTCATGTTTACACATATAGCACTTTGTTGCTTTAAACCTATGCGTGAAAAGGTGCATTTCACTTCCAAAGTAGTAAGTGTTATTTTTCATGTGATATTAATGATTTGAGTGTTATGTGGGTAAATATGAAATTTTAGGTGTGAGATATGTAAATACATAATAATTGTGTGCCATGTATGCAAATGCCCCATAAAATTAACGCAGTATGATGCAAACCAATATATTATCATGGTCAGTTAATTAGTTCATTCATTCATGAAACAAAAATAATAAAACATTGCATACATATATTAACATAAAATTAGAGGTAAAGGGTTTATATAAGGGCTCAACAGAATTATAATTTCCATAAAGATCACTTGTCCTGCAACCTGAGACTTGCAGATATTACTTAAAGTACTGCAAATAGGAAGTTACAAATTTGATGTTGGAAGTTTGTATCGGGGCAACTCCTTTGCTTCAGGATTTTCCCCTTCTTTTCTTCCTTTTTAATAAAAAATCATAAACCCAAAACCCTGAACTCCAAACTAAAGTGTCATGCACAAAGAGTAAAAAGGAACAAAATTTAGAAGTAAATTTACATACATACCACAATGCGCTTATATATTTAGAAATCTAACACCAAAAGTTCGATATTTACACTCATTAACATTTTGGTTTCTTAAAGCAATGCATGAAAATGTGTATTTCACTTTTAAAAAAATGGACATCATTAAACAGAAATTGAAATTAGAATGTCAAAAGCACCATCTCAAATTTGCCCAAATTTGTAAGACAACTTTGTATAATATTGGAAAGCAATTTCAAGCAATTTGTTTTGTTAACAACAAGAAAGTCCTTTTAACTGATAAGAAGAGATGAGAATCAAACTTAGGGAAATGAGGGGAAAAGCAAGCTTTACAAATATTAAATAAGCTTCTCATTAATTTGAAAAGAAAAACGACTAAATGTCAAAGGATAAAAAATAGGAGAAAGCGTACCCGTAAAGCAAGGATATTAGGCAACTTTTAAATGACAATTTTTCTCTGAGTTAGGCTTCTAAAACCCCCATTCAAAGGCCACATATGACCCAGCAACCAAAAAATACTATGTCATGCGACTTAATTATTGATTTTAATTGTTTAGCTGATCTCTTAAAAAATATATGTAAAGTAGCTTTGGTTTATATGAAAAACTGTGCTAATAAAATCCACATTCTGTACAATCACATTGTTAACAATGTATGAGCATATGGATTGATTTTAGAAACGCTCAAAATTTAATATCAGAGAATGAAGATTTTATCTAATATAACTCAGCAAACATATAGCATCATCACAACTTTACAAAAAAAAAACAAAGGCCTAAGTAATACTTAGTAAACATATTAATATATCATTTAGTGGGAATATCTAAAAGGCACCACGTAATTTGCCTTGTAGATTAAAAAGGGCTTCGTAATTTTAATCTTAAGACTTTATTCCTCATAATTTCTTTTTTTTTTCCTCTCAAACAATCATTAGAATCCTCTATGTTAAAGCAACTTTTATATATAAGAGATTTTCAAACATCTAAAGAAAAAGATAAATACGAAAGAAATCAAATAATCAATAAAAAATATGGGATACCCATGGAGGAGGGAGTTGGTTCCTTAAAGAAAAGAAAACCCACGCCCTTGAAACTTCGCAGAATAAAAACCCCTTGATTTGAAGATCAAAGAAAAAACATAAGAAAATAAAGGTGACAACTCAACTAGGAAGAAGTTGAGAGCAAGGCAAATCCAAGAACAGATAAATCAACATTGAAGTGAGTCTGATGTTCTTATGTTATAGTAACATTTTTTGTTTATTCTAGATCAAATGCATCTACTGTTACTGTA